AGGGGATGGGAGTGGGCAAGATCCTGAGAGGGGACACAACCAGGCCAGCTGACCCAAATTGACCAAAGGGATATTCCATACCATCTGACATCAGCTCAGATATATAAACTAAGGGAGAGAGGAGGAAGGGAGGGGCATTCGTGAGTTTTCAGTGTTTGCCTTCTGGAGGAACTGTTACCCATGCTGAAGCTTTGCTTCCCGGGAAGTGTCTGTACATTGCTGCTGATGGGAAGTAGAGATTGACTTTTTTTTTCCCCCTTTAGCTGTTGTGTGTGCAGATCTCTGCTTATTTATTTCTTTTGCTGTAATAAAACTGCCTTATCTCACCCTGCTGGTTGTGCTCCATCTTATTCTCTCCTTTGTCCCAATGGGAAAGGGAGTGATAGAGTGACTGAGTGAGCACCTGGCACCCAGCCAGGGTCAACCTGCTACAGTCATTTAGGGGTGTAATGTATTGGTTTTGCACAGCCTGGTTTTTGGGAGCAGGGGGGCCACAAATATGGCTCCTATGCAAAGCTGCTGGAAGCTTCCACCATGTCCAGCAGAGCCAATACTTGATGGCTCTGAAGATGGACATACTGCTGGCCAAAACGGGGCCAATGAGTGAGGTTGGTAATGCCTCTGTGATGATATATTTAAGAAGAAAATCAGAACAAAGTCACGGGTTTTGTTCCTAGTCAGAGAAGAGGAGGAGGTGAGACCATGTGAGGGAAAGTAACATGGTAACACCAAGGTCAGTGGCGAAGGAGAGGAAGGAGGCCCTCCAGGTGCTGGAGCTGAGATTCTTCTGCAGGCCATGGTGATGACCATGGTGAAGCAGGCTGTCCTTCTGCAGCCCATGGGTCCACAGGGAATGCAGAGGTCCACCAGCAGCCCGCAGGGGAGGTGCCCATGCCAGAGTGGGTGGATGCCTGGAGGAAGCTGTGATCCAGTGGGAGACCCAGTGGAGAGAGGGGGCCCCTGCTTCCAGGCTGGAGCAGCCTGTCCTTGGAGGACTGCACCCCATGGAAGAGTGACCCACACTGCAGAAGTTTTGGGAAGCCTGTCTGTCTGCCTGTGAGGGGAAATCATGTTACAGCAGTTTTTGGGGGACTGCTGCTCATGAGATTGAACCCATGTTGGAGAGGTTCATGGAGAACTGTCTTCCATGGGAATGGACCCCGTGATCTCACAGGGGAACAACTTCCCTCCTTGCACAGCAGAAGAAAACTTTGGGTGATGAACTGACCAAAACCCCCACCCCCCTGTCTCCCTGCGCTGTTGGTGGGAAGGAGAGAGGGGTTGGGGGAAGAAAAGGTGTTTTTTAAGAGCTTATTTTACTTCTCATTATCCTCCTCTGCTTTTGTTAGTCATAGATTCACTTTGTATCTCTAAGAAGAGCCTGTTTTTCCCTTGGAGTGTTTTCTCCCGGTCCTTAACTCATGAACCCTTTGTTTAAATTTTTCTCTCCTCTGCCCAGCTGTGGCAGGGGAGGGTGAGTGGCTTTCATGGGTGCCCAGCATTTGGCCAGTGTCAAACCACAACAGGGGTGGACAGCATCTTATGCCTCTAAGTGGGCACAGTGGCATTCATGTCTTGATATACAGAATGTGTTCAGCAGAACTTAATTCAACTTGGCAGATAATTTCACAATCAGTTTTGTCAAAATGAGATTTTTTTCCCTTCCTTTATAAAATAAGAGCAAAGAATATGACTTTTGCTTATTCTAATAATCATCTATTCTCACAGTTTTTTTTCACCATCACGAGCACTCTAGTTTCTCTCTCTGTACCTCTTGCTGCTGCCTGTATGTAAACGCTTGGAAAATTTTCTCTACTTGTTTTGCAGAGTCATGACTGTTTTCTTCCAGCATGGTAATAGCCTGCAAGGCAAAGGGAATCTTCTCCCAGATAAGTGAGTTATTCAGCAGTCTCAGAGGTATCAGAGAGTTGTATTTGTGCTGTTGGTTAAGTGGATTGACAGGGGAGGTGTAAGAGAGACTCATACCAAGGTTCATTCAGAAATTTTTCCTGTCAATAATATAGTATCACATAGTCAGCCATTCACAGCATCACTTAAGTTTTACGAGACTTGTTCACCACCTTTGCATGTCCGCAAAGATTATTCCAGGTTTAATAGAAAATTTATTCTGCAGCAGGTTCTGGATCCAGATAGCTCATCTACGTCATTCTCAGTGTGCAGAACCACAAACCTACAGAAAATGTCTTCAGTCTTCTCATTTCTGCTGCAAACTCCCAGAGCTGTGCTTGCAGGCTCCCTGATTTCAGCAGAGAGGCTGCACAGTTCATTAATTTGCTTGGAGTCTCTCTGACCTGTACTCATGTTGTTAGCCTTTTTGCTACTATCTGGTGAAGGAGTTTGTTTGGAGTTATTACTGCCCATTACAACAAACACATGTTCAGCTCCAAACACAAGGCATCTCTTCCTCCCTCCCATCTGGGACTTAACTTCTTCCTCACTGACCTCGATGTCTTCATGCTGTTCCTTTACATGCTTGCATCTTGTTCCTTTCTCTCACTCGAGGGAGGCTTGAAGCACTGAAAGGGTTAACATCCCGTCCAGGGCCTACCTGACCCGCCGGTAACTTGTGGCAGGGAGCTGCGGCTGAGTTGTGTCAGGATCGGCCTCATGGTTGGTCTTTGCTTTTCTGCACAGGCTGCAGGGGTCTCAGGTCTCAGCCGCGCTGGGGGAAGGGGATTTGATCATAAGATCTTCACAGCCACGGGCAGCCCTGCTCTGGCCCGGGCTCGGCAGCCTCCCCCGCCTTCCTGCCCGGCCGCTGCTGGGGCCCGGCTCGACCCGACCCGATCGGAGCCGATGGGGAGGCCAGCGGGCGGCCCGGGGAGAGGGGAAGGGGCCCGGCGCGCGGCAGGACCGCCCGGCCCGGCCTGGCCAAGACGGGGCGGGGGGGAGGGGCGGGTTGGGGCCGGGGCCCGCCACGTCCTCACCGACCGGAAAGGAGAAAGGAAGTTCCCGGGGGTTTTTCGTTTTTAACATGTGTGTTCCACAGAGGCGTGTCCAGCTTCTCAGTGGTTCAACAGACTGTCAGTTACACAAAAAGCTTTACATCACTTCCCTGAATTTCCTCCCATTTCAAACCATGACATGTACCCAAAGGGTTGTGGTCAATGGCTCAATGTCCAAGTGGAAAGCAGTGACATGTGGTGCATTGGGACTGGCACAGTTTAACATCTCTGTTAGTGACATGGACAGTGGGATTGAGTGCACCCTCAGCAAGTTTGCTGACAACACCAAGTTGTGTGGTGCAGTCAACACGCAGGACAGAATGGATGGCATCCAGAGGAACCTGGACAGGCTCAAAAGGTGGGCCTGTGTGAATCTTGTGAAGTTCAACAAGGCCAAGCGCAAGATCCTGCACCTGGGTTAGGGCAACCCCAAGCACAAGTACAGGCTGGGCAGAGAATGGAGCAAGACTAGCTTTTGGGAGAAGGACTTTGGGTTGTTTGTGGACAAAAAACTCAACATGTCTCAGCAATGTGCACTTGCAGCCCAGAAAGCCAACTGTATCCTGGACTGCATCAAAAGAAGTGATAAGCAGGTTGAAGGAACTGATTTTCCCCTTCTGCTCTTCTCTGGTGGGACCCCACCCTAGAGTGCTGCATCCACCTCTGGGGCCCTCAACACAAGAAAGATGATGACCTGTTAAAATGGGTCCAGAGGAGGCCATTAAGTTCATCACAGGGCTGGAACACCTCTCCTATGAAGACAGGCTGAGAGAGTTGGAGCTCTTCAGCCTGGAGAAGAGAACACTTCAGGGTGACCTTATAGCAACTTCCAGTGCCTAAAGGGGGCCTACAAGAAAGCTGGAGAGGGACTTTTTATAAGGGCATGGAGTGATAGGACAAGAAGAAATAGCTTCAAACTGAAAGAGGGCAGGTTTAGATTAGGTATTAGGAAGAAATTCTTTACTGTGAGGCTAGTGAGGCACTGAAACAGGTTGCCCAGAGAGGTTGTGGACTCCCCATCCCTGGAAGTGTTAAAGGCCAAACTGAATGGGGCTCTAGGTAATCTGGTCTAGTGGAAGGTTCCCTGCCCATGGTAGGGAGGTTGCAACTAGATGATCTTAAGGGTCCCTTCCAACCTAAACCATTCTATGATTAATTTGTATTTTACCCACATAATATTCACAGGGTCTTTTTGCCTTACTCAAAATTTCCCCCCTTCAAACAAAACCAACAATGAATATTTCAGGACATAAAAACACATTATGCAAACATAAAACATCAAAGGAATAGTTGAAACCTTTCACAACTTCAAACACAGTTGTATCTCATTTAACCTGGAGTGATTTAGTTGCATATCACACCACTAACCGAACTATTATTTTCATATATGCAGCTTTAACAAAACAATATTAATAATTTAAAAAAAAGTGATTTTTTTTTCACCTAGTGTTGAAGTGGTAGCATGTGTTCTATTATATCCTATCCAATCACTTATTTTAAAATATATATACAGTTTTCAAATATGTAGCATAAAAAGAAAGCACTAGTTTTTGCATTCTGATCTTTGTTACAATTTCAGGTAAGCTTGTACCTCAAAAATGGAACTGCAATATTGCAAGTTCAATACAAGATAGAAAGACATACATAATTCTGAATAAAATATTAAACTTTTTTATACCCCTATTACCTTTTAACTAATTTTTGAAGTGTTAAAGCTTTTTTCTTCAGTTCTGAGAGTGTCGTTTATAAGCTTACAATAGAGACAAGAAGAATTTTTTTTTAACTATCACACCATTTTAAAGGCATTTTAGGTCATAGAATGATTATTTGGTGTCCAAGTGAATGTGTAAATCCTGTCAATTTTTTCCTGGAAAATAATACAGGCAATTAATGAAAAATTAGCATTCTTTCTCTGCTTGCTGAAAACTAGTTTAAGTAGAATATTTTTGAATTAGAGCTAGTAACTCAATTTTTTATCTTAGTTTTGTTTGTGTGCACTTAAAAAGTGGTCCAAGTTAATTTATTCCTCCAGAATCATCTGAAGAAGTCTTTCTTTATTTTGACTAGCTCAATTAAAGGTACCTGTATGTACATATATTTACCATCTTCCACATCCAAATAAACCAAGATTTTTTTACAATACATAAACTAAAGATATGAACAGTGGAAGCAATGTTGCTACAAATCAACCAAAAAGATATCACAAAACATTTTAAATGGGTTTGACCACTAACAGAAGAGTAGCGATTACATGCACAAGGTCATAATGTATCAGTGCACCAAACAGGGAAATAAAGGACACAGCACTCACACAATGTAGTATTAGTATTAAATGGGCTTCTTAATAGGAAAACAATTTAATTAAAAGCTGTGCACATGCCTAATGGATGCAATGTAACTGGTGCTGAACTGCTTGATAAAAACCAAACTATTTTTGGTCTTAAATGTGACAAGCAACAGCACTAAGTACAGAGATTGCACAGCTTCAGTAACAAAGTTACAATATTCCCCATTTCATTGCATTTTTAAAAGCAACTTGGAGATTTAAAATTTTTGAATAAAGAAAGCATGTTTCTCAAGTAGTCTCAGTTTAGAAGTTGTTTAGTAAAACATTGTAAAAGAAGAAATGCATTATATTTTAATGTAGAAAAGTGTGTGTTTAGACAAATACACTCAAGTATAAAATTTAGTAGGTTTTGAAGATGGAGATTTACCAGGCAGGTGGAGACTTTGCACCAATATATACTATCAAGCTTGCAACAATTTTACAGATAAGCAAAGGATATAATGGGATTTTTTTTGTTGTTACAGCAAATCAAAACAGTGGAATACATCTCACAACTACAGTTCATCACATTAGCTTGTTTATGATCCAACACATTCAGCATGAAAATTCAAGTCAAATCTAATTTTCATGAGTATTGTCTTTCACATCAGACACTAGATTGGCAGGTCCTTTTAAAGCATTATAACACAGATGGGCAATCATATCAGTAAAGTCAAACTCAATTTGGATTAAAATCAGCAAAACCAAAGAGAGGCTGGTCATTGCCAGATATATAATACAAGTATCAGAAAACACTAAGTTTACTCTATATTTCAAATTGGGTGTCCCTTTCATAACTTGTGGGTTATATTTTGTGATTTTAATCAATGAGGAGGGGTAGACATTTAGATGTTTCATATATTTAGTTCCTTGTACTTACAATTAATTGGATAACGGTAATTTCACAAGTGATTAACACAATGACCTGAAACATTATCACTACCAGTTATGATGTAACATGGGTTGTTGTGGTTCTTTTATCTGAAAAGAAGCTTTTGAGGAGAAATACCTGCCCAACACTAACTACAAGAAGAATGATTGCCTCCCCTATTGACCAATAGGCTACTCTTGTGTTTAAATCCTCTGCTCTGCTGCGGCCTTGTGCTTCTCTCAACCGGAAATGAGTCTGATAATCAATGACAGATTTCAGAGCTTCATGAATTGAAACACACGCAGACTCCATCTAAAGAAGCAAATAAATACACATGTTCAATTAAGAACTCTTCTAATGCTTGTTCTGTGAAGTTCTGTGGTTTGATATTTAAAATTAAGATTCACATAGCTTTACAAATGAAATACTATCTCAGTCCACTGTCAAACTGAAATACTATAAATCTAACATATTAATCAAATTTTACACACAGGAATGTGACTAACTTAAGTACCAAAGTGTGCAAAACTGCAGATGTAATACAAAGTGATGCACTCTAAGAGCCAGAAACTGAATATTAAAATTCATGCATGTTTGGGTTCAAAAGTAAATATAAACACTGTATTGAAATATGCCAGTGATCCGACATTTGCTAATTCCACATACACCAGTAAAACAAGCAGTAAATCTTTCTTGAGATTTGGATAGCTAATAAGCTTCTTATAGCATTAAGATTTGCACAGTAGATATTAAAACACTTTTAGATTTCAGAAGTATGTGATTCTTCATCACATAATACCCAAACTTCAGTTTCCCAAAAGCCTGAAATCTAATTACTGACCTCAACATGTTCTTTTGGCAGGAGGTCCTTATATTAGTCACATATGTAAAAAGTGATTAGATAAAGGACAACTGTTATTTTTCAGTGTTCCTGGATGCTCCCTACCATATTCATATAATAAACACTCAAGACCAAGTTGCCCAACTAAATGTGTCATCTTTCATAAAAATCACATTTCCTTCTCTAACATGAAAAAATCTTAAACCTCTTTAATAGATGTACTACAGGCTTTCCAAGATCTAGATTTTTTTACACATAAACCTCTTCCATTTTCTGTTTATCTTCTGAAAGTAAGAGTCAGTACCCATGCTTGTTTAAAATGAAGTTTGGTAATAACTATAGTGTAATAATGTTAGAATTCATGAAGTTACTGTTCCAAGTGAAGTTGGCTGATTTAGTTTAGGCAGAAGTGGTGTAAAACTAAAATTATGAAGAAAGAAAACAACATTAGGGAAAAAGGTCTGGAGCAAGAATATTGTTTTGCCACTTAAGTGTCTTATAAATTACATCTCTAGAAGCAGGTTAAGTATGACTGATTTTGTGCATTTGTTTATTTTGCTAGAAGTCTCTTCCAATTTTAAAAGTGACAGTTACATAAGAGATTATTCATTCAAGTCTTTGCCTCAAAAAAGACTAAACTCTTTAAATATAAAACCAAATTGTTCTCAAAGTTTCTCCAAAGTTCAGGAATTTTGAAAACCCCAATCCACTGATATTTTACACTTTGTACCACTTCCACATACATAGAACCATGGCATAAAAAAGTTCCCTTAAACTCTACGGCACTGTATAATTTCCCTAAATTTCCACTTAATCACTTGGTAATTCCTCCTCAGCTCTGCATTCTATAAATCCTAATTTTCAGAAAAGGTTCACTTTTAGTAACAGGGTTTATTTTAAAGAAACTCTGACCCATTCATTTTCAACAACGATATATATATCTAATGCAGGTGAATTTGAAAAAGATTCCCTCCACCTAACAGTTCCTGTCAAACACAATATTTTACCTGAGTAAGTGCAGTTGCTCTGTTCTCACTAGGAAACAGTGGTGGATCTTCTCCAACCTGGAAATCAAAGTACACAGTTTTGTGTGTGAAAGTAGAGAACTCATTGCTGAAGCAGAATTTGTATGTTCCATTTCTGGATGCAGTAAATGTGAAGCTATCATATTGTTTCTTCATCTCTTTGTATAATACAGAACCATCAGGACCTTCCAACCGACAGTCCACATCATAATGACCTCCAGTGATCACCTGAAAAAAACCCCAAGAAATTGTCTTAAACAGAACAGACATCCAGCCAGCGTTGCAAATTGTTTGATCTGACAAATGTTTTAAAGTGAATTAATTTATAAATCTATTGAGTTTGAAAAAAATCGTCATCCTATGAAAGACTCACAGAACAATTCAAAATAAGTTTTTTAAATTGAAGATATGCAATATCAACTATGTTTTCTAACAGTGTATGAAGGAAACTTTAGTTACTTCATTTTGAGATACTAGTACTATAGCAAAGGCTAGAGTAGATTAAAATTGATGGGGCAAAGACATTACTGCAATAAATCAGTAATATATTATATCCACAAGCCCATCCATACAATTTATTCAGCAAGTTGAGACCGCCAAAATCAATAAACCAGCTCTTTTATGTATGACCTAAACTGTCTAACTAGCCTATCAGGTCAAGCTGCTTTATGTTGCAGGAATGGCATATATTCAGTAGAACAGATATTACAGGCTGACTCATCACATCAACAGAGCAGTGTTCTGGAGGTTATGCTGCCTTACTCCTGCACAATAGATGACAGTAATTTTTTCCAACACCAGCACGTTCAAATTATATCTACAAGTAACTCAAAACTTCATATGATCATCTTGAGAATGGTCATCTTTGATTATTGTTGGTTCATAGCCTGTTCTTCTGTAGAATCACACTAGCTATCCTATCTCCACTACAAGAGCAATTGGCAGTTTAGGTATTCATGGCTTACTATTCTGTAATGTGATTCTGATAGCTCTCAGACTTGTAGTTAAATTTAATCCTTGCTTCAAACTTCTTGCCTTTAAGATAAAGCATCCTAAAGGATGAAGAAACTTCTATCCAATAGCACATCCTTTTTATATGCATACAGAAGCTTTAAAAAATAATATACATATTATTTGAAATATGTAAATATCTATTCAAGCACATGCTATTAAAGATTTGTTCAGAGGCTCCAAGCAGCAGAAGCAACATTTCAGTAGGCTGTTTGTATAACATAATTTTAGTGCCCACCAATTTATATCGGTATTAAACTCCTAATACTAACGGCAAAAGTGAAATAACAAGAGACTCCCTGGGGGCCGAGGGAAGCACGGAGTACCTGAAATTCGAGGGTGCACTTTGTGCCCTGGACAATCTCCTCGTAAAAACATTGTTTGGCATTGTCAGGCAGCTCGAAAGTGATTTCTGAGGCCCATGCCGCGCAAGCTACCAGGAGCAGCGTCAGCCACTCCCACGGTCCAGCAGTTCCGTAGCCCCGTAAAAGCATCATTCAGCGCGCAGTGCGGACTAATAGTAACAGAGTTTGAGCCGGGCAGAAAGAGGGCAGCCCCGCATCAGAGGCCAGCAGGCACAGAGCCCAGAGGAAGATGTCTGCGGCGCCAACCGATCACAACGGAGAAACCTAACTGAGGAATAACGCTGCACTCTCAGGAGCAACCGCGGTGCCTAGCACCGCCCTTACAGAAGCTCTTCCGGGTGAGCCCTCATAGTTGTATAGACGTGTTGCTCCTCGTAAAAGGGAGTGCTCCCTGCCTCTCCCGGGCGCACTTGCGCGTTTGCTGCCTGGACAACGTTTATCAGGGAGCATGACGGTCCGGCATCGTCTTGGGCACTAGGCCCGGTCTGGGCTGTGACACCAGCGAGCCGAGAAGGTGTCCACGTTCACAGGGACGACCTCTAGGCAACAGAGGTACCATAGCCGCACGCACGAGGCCCGCCCATCCCGGCTTTGTGCTGAGGGGTACTCAGATTATATAGCTAATTTATTTTTTTTTTTTAAATTCCCCTCTGTCATAGCTGCATGACACAGTCCAGGTTCCACAATACATCAAAACTTTTGTATCTATGTCCATTGTATGCAACTATCCAGGGGCTAAACTGTTTTAAAATTCTCATAAGACATTATTTAGAGATGAAATAGTGGCCTCTCTTCTCTAAATGCAATTGAAAAGTATCTTAAGTACTCTCTCTGTATATCTTCGAGTTACTGAATATACAGGGTTGAATTTCAGCGTTGGAGTCCCACATTTCTTTGTAATTTAACGTTACTTCAGAGAGATTGTCCTGGTTTAAGCTGGGATAGTTAATTTTCTTCTTAGTGTGAAAAACACGTTCACTCTCCTGTGAAAATTTAAACAGTTTAATAAAGGACAATAGGAGACAAAGACAGTAAAGCAAAGATTACGGCGCATATCCATAAACTAGTTTACATATTCCAGGAACTATTTTACATGGCCCCTCCTTGGGTCCACCTTTTTAGAGCATGCGTGTTTCTTGGCTGTGGTTTTGGCTCCTCCTTATCACTTCCAGGCTTGGGCCTTGGTCCATACTTTCTTCAGACAGCAGATGCTGATAGTTGGCATATCAGTAGCAGGGTCCACATTACATGTTCGCTGGATGTTATCCCGACCAGACAGTTCACTCATAACTATATCAGTGACCACTACTACTATGTTAATAGCAGAAATAAAAGCAAAGTTATTTTAACATTATGCATATAACATTCATCCTAATATTTGTGAAAAGCCAACAACATAATATGTATTTATAACATTAGTAGCTGGTACAGTGCTGTGTTTTGGATTCATTATGAGAATAATGTTGATAACACACTGAGGTTTTGGCTGTTGCTCAGTAGTGCTTATTCAAGAACTTTTCAGTGTCTCATGCTCTGCCAGTGAGCAGGTGCCCAAGAAGCTGGGAGGGAGCACAGCCAAGACAGCTGACTTGAACTAGCCAAAGGGATATTCCATACCATAAAATGTCATGCCCAGTAAATAAATTAGGTGGGAGGAGTTTTCTGGGGCTGCTGTTGCTTGGGTACTCATTGGGCATAAGTTAGCTGATGGTGAGCAATTGCGAAGGTTTTTTGCATCACTTGTTTTTATTTGTTTTGGTTTTATTTGTTGTTTTGGGGTTTTTCTTCCTCTTTTTTTCCTTCTAATTAAATTGTCTTTATCTCAACTCATGAGTTTTTGCACTTTTACCCTTCCAATTATTCCTCCCATCCCACTGTGGGGAGAGTGAGCAAGCTGTTGTGTGGTGCTTAGATGCCCACCAGGTTCAAACCATAGTACCTGAATAGGCCTAGGCCTATGCTCTACTATGCTGCATGTACAGCTTGCCTTCAGGCCTGCATTGTGCCGCTCAAACTCCTTGGCCTCAGGATAAACTTAGCCAGTTCATTCTAACAGAGGAGCCTGAAGGCAGGTCCCACTTGGTATCAGTGATTATGCCACCTGCGTGTCCTTGCCATTATCTAAAAGTATATCAATAATTTCTCATGTGAATATCCTTTCTATTGAAAGAATGACCCAAATATTGACTACTGACCAACAGACATGGGGAGAGATGAGGTACTCAAGTCCCTGAACCTACCTCAGGCAGGGACTGAGGGAATGAAATCCCTCCTACCATAAGAGAAGACCAAGTTTGAGACCATCTGAGGAATCTGAATGTACACATGTCCATACGACCTGACAAGATGCATTCCAGAGTCCTGAGGGAGTTGGCTGATGAAGCTGTCAAGCCACTCTCCATTATATTTGAGTGGTGTGGTTGACATACCTGAAGGATGGGATACCATGCCACAGGACTGGGTGTCATAGCAAGAATAGGAGCTTCAGACAAAGTTTATTAGACAAGGCCCTCCTGCTGAGTCACAAGGCACAAGAAAGGGTCCCCTTGCTTTCTAAATTCCTTCTCAGAGAGGAGTCTGGGTGTGGCTGGATCCAATTCTAGCCCCAGACTTAGTCAACAGTTCATGCACAAAGCAGAGCTAAAACTGAAAAGAAACGTAAGGCAACAGCGACATCTACTGGTTTTATGGAAAACTGCAACAGATGTGGCAAGTTCAGGCATAGAACCAACGAAGGTAGATCAAAATGCAAGAAAGACGGGACACCGCTGGGAAACGTCAAACAAGAGTGCGAAGGGCGGATGCGCAATGACACAAATGCTCCCCCACAACCAGGTGGCTGCCTGGACATCCTTCACTCAGCAACAGCAGGATCTGCAGGTGTGGATTTGGACACGGCAATAGAAGTTACCCTGGAGAACACGCTGGTGTACAAGTCATTCCATCAACGGCAAATGGACCTTTAGGGGTATGGACTCAGTGCCCTGCTGATAGGGAGATCATCTGCATCAAAGCAAGCCATTTTTGTTTTTCCTAGACTAATTGATGCAGACTATTTAGGTAATATTGGGATAATGGTGCAAACCTGGAGACCACCCATCCATATTCCAAAAGGCACGAGATTGGCACAGTTGGTTCCTTTTGAGGCCAAGGTTCCTAGACAGGGGGCCACTCTAAGGGGGGATGGAGGTTTTGGGTTAACGGGAACCCCTCTGGTAATGTTTACATTACCATTATTGGGAGCAAAACCAACTAAACCTATTACTTTCCAGCACCCTGATGGAGGAACTCTCATGACAAAAGCTGTGTTGCTGTACACGGGTTCAGATGTCAACATTGCTCCCTCATTTCCATGGCCTGCAACATGGCCTCAGAATACCCTGGGAACACCTGTTGTGGGAGTGGGAGGTGTGCAAATGACTCAAATTAGTAAAACACTCTTAACAGTGTGGGTTGATGAAGATGCACATATTTGTGCCCAGGTGAGACCTTACGTGATGAATACTTTAATCTGTCTACTGGAACGGGATGGCCTGAGCCAGATGGGTTTCTGTCTCGCCAATGAGGGTTTTTAGCGGTGGCCATTGAGAGACGGCCAATCCTAAAATTAAAATGGTTAACAGAGACACCAATCTGGGTTGATCAATGGCCGCTGTCTAAAGAAAAGCTTGTCCATGTTAATGAATTGGTTGATGAGCAATTGAAAAGGGGGTGTATCATACCTTCTACAAGCCCCTGGAACACACCCATCTTTACAATCCCAAAAAAATCAAGAAAATTGAGGTCATTACATGACCTTCGAGCTCTTAATTCTGTAATGCAGGATATGGGACCCCTGCAGCCCAGCTTACCCTCACTATCAATGTTACCTGTCAATTGGCAACTGTTAATTATCGACCTCAAAGACTGCTTTTTCACAATCCCCCTGCATGAGGACAACAGTGAGAAGCTTGCCTTCTCAGTGCCATCCATTAACAAGGCAGAGGCAGCAGAGGTATCAATGGGTTGCATTGCCACAAGGGATGCATAATTCTCCCATGATGTGACAACTGTATGTTCCCTGGGTGTTAACTCTGCTAAGAAAACGGTACCCACAGTATTTTATCTATCATTACATGGATGATATTCTGTTGAAGATTGCAATGCAAGTTGTTTTCCATTACCATCTGTATGGCAGATTACCTTTGTCAACTGGGCAGTTTGCTTTATCTCTCTCTTTGAGTGACCACATTCACACCCCCCCCTGGGAGGGGACATGTGCTGATAACAGACTATTGAATGTCACTGCATGACTGATAAGAACTATAACATCCCATTGTGAGATGCTCCGCCCAGAGGGAGGAGCCAAGCATTGCTACCCAGATATAATCCAGAAATTTTTGAGACACCAGCACAGCTTTCTCCACGAGATTCCCCAGAGGAACAGCAGCTGTCTCTTCTTCCGCTGGATCTTCAGAAGAATACATCCTTTTCTACAGATCCCCCTTGCTTCAACAGAACCACACCTGATACTTCAGGAGGACTGCAGCCACATTTTCAATTGGACTGCCACCAACATCCTGACGCACAGGGTGTCAGGTTGGGTTCTGACTCTGTCAGTGTTGTTCTAGTGTACTGCATTGTTTATTTTACCCTTTTATTTTTTTCTTTTCCCTATTAAAGAACTGTTATTTCCTGCTCCCATATTTTTGCTTGAGAGCCCCTTAATTTAAAATTTATAGCAATTTGGAGGGGTGGGGAGGGTTTACATTCTCCATTTCAGGGAAGGCTCCTGCCTTCCTTAGCAGACTCCTGTCTTTCCAAACCAAGACATATTCTTATAGCAGGAGAACATATAGATGCAGCAACCCTGCTACCTGCCGTACAGCAATAATTACAGAAGGCAAGCCTTCAAATTGCCCCTGAAAAACTTCAACAACAGGCCCCATGGAAATATTTGGGTATGCTTATGTCACGGTTTGACGCTGGCACAATGCCAGTGCCCCCATGAAAATATATCCTCCCTGGTGTCTGCTGTGAGATGTGACCAGGAATAGAGCAAAGAAGGCTCCAACTTAGGAATGAAGAAGAAAAACTTTATTAACCTACAACTATATGTAGAAAGAAACACACACAGAACTCAGAATGAAAACCTTCCAAAAACATTCCTCCTCCCCCCACCAAATTTCCAATACATCCACCCCTCAGATCATCAACTCTCAGTCCATCACCACCCTTTAGATAATCAATTCTCAGTTCATCTAGGAG